TTGAATCTGACAATCATATGGTTTACTATGCCAGGAATGACAAATTCAAGAGAAATGGTGTAGCATTTATCATCTAACAGAACATTTCAAGATCTATCTTGAAGTACGATGCTCTCTGTGATAGGCTATCCTTATGCCCCCAAGGAAGACCAGGTAATACCACTATTATTCAAATTTATGCACTAACCACTAAAGCCAGTGATGATGAAACTGAAGACCTCTACCAATGCCTTCAGTCTGAAATTAATCAAACTTGCAATAAAAATATATGGATAATTACTGATGATTGGAAGGCAAACTTTGGAAGCAAAGAGAAAGGATCAGTAGTTGGAAAATATGACCTGGCTGATAGAAATTATGCTGGAGGTCACATGATAGAATTTTTCAAGATCAATGACTTATTCATTGCAAATACCATTTTTAAACAACATTAAAGATGACTATACTCATATACCTAACCTATGGAATACACAGGACTCATATTGATTACATCTGTGGAAAGAGAATTTGTAAAGGCTCAATAACATCACTCAAAACAAGGCCAGGGGCTGACTGTGGAGCATACTATCAACTGTTCATAAATAAGTTCAGGCTGAAGGTGAAGAACATTAAAACAAGTCCACGAGAGCCAAAATATGACCTTGGACATATTCCACATGAATTTATAGGTCATCTCAAGAACAGACTTGATGCATTAGACACTAATGACTGAAGACCAGAAGAGTTGTAGGAGGACATCAAGAATACCATAAAGGAAGAAAGCAAAAGTTCATTAAGAAGACAAGAAAGAAGGAAAGGTCCAAAATGAATGTCAGAAGAGACTCTGAAACTTGCTTTCCAGTGTAGAGATGCTAAAGCAAATGGACAAAATGAGGAGGTAAAAGAGCTGAACAGAAATTTCAAAGGGCAGTTAGAAGACAAAGTCAAGTATTAAAATGAAATGTACAAAAACATGGAGTTAGAAAACCAAAAGGGAAGAATATGCTTAGCATTTCTTAAGCTGAAAGAACTGAAGAAAAACTTCAAGATTTGGCTTGCAATATTGAAGGATTCTATGGGCAAAATATTGAATGATGTGGAAAGCATCCAAAGAAGATGGAAGGTATACAAAAAGAAATGGTTGATGTTCAACCGTTTCAAAAGGTAGCATATAATCAAAGACTGAAGGTACTGAAGGAAGAAGTTCAAGCTGCACTAGAGGTATTGGCAAAAAACTAGGCACCAGGAATGGACAGAATACAAATTGAAGTCTTCCCACAAACTGATGCAGCTCTGGAAGTACCCATTAATTTATGCCAAGAAATTTAGACGACAGCTACCTGGCTAACTGATTGGAAGAGATCCATATTTGTGCCTATTCCAAAGAGAAGTAGCCCAATGTAATGTGGAAATCACTGGACAATATCATTAATATCATATGCAAGTAAAATTTTTCTGGAGATGAGTCAAAAACAGCTGCAACAGTACATTGACCTGCCAGTGTCTCAAGCTAGATTCAGATGAGGATGTGCAAATAGGGATATCATTGTTGACATCAGATGGATCTTGGCTAAAAACAGAGACTACCAGGAAAATGTTCACTTGTGTTTTAATTACTGTGCAAGGTCTTTTTTTAAAAATGTTTTATTGTGAATTATATGATAGTTTACATGGGAGAACTTTAATTTTACATTCATTCCATCGTATATCATCTCATTGCCATGATTCCAATCCCCTCCATGCATCATCAACAACCCAAAGGGTATATCCCAGAAACCCGTCCCCTACACTTCCCCCTCCTCTCCCCAGTTTTCAGCCCACAGTCCCTTTCCCTCTCTGGGTCCAAAGGCAAGGTCTTTTGACTTTGTGGATCTTGACAAGCTATAGATAATATTATGAAGAACGAATATTCCAGAACAATTAATTGTGCTCATGTAGAACCTGTACATAGACCCAGAAACATTCATTCAAACAGAACAAGAGGATACTGAATGGTTTAAAATCAGGAAAGGTGTGTGCCAGGGTTGTATTCTTTCTCCATACTTATTCAATCTGTATGCTGAGCAAATAAATCAAGAAGCTGGCTTATATACAGAATGTGGCATCAGGATTGGAGGAAGACTCATTAGCACCCTGCAATATGCAGATGATACAACATTGCTTGCTGAAGTGAAATAGACTTAAAATACTTACTAATGAAGATCAAAGACCACAACCTTCTTTATGGATTGTAACTCAATGTAAAGAAAACTAAAATCCTCACAACTGGACCAATAAATAACATCATGATAAATGGAGAAAAGATTGAAATTGTCAAAGACCTCATTTTGCTTGCATCCACAATCAATACTCATGGAAGCAGCAGTCAAGAAATCAAACAACATAATGCATTAGGTAAATCTGCTGCACAAGACCTCTTTAAAGTGTTCAAGTGTTCAAGATACCAGTTTGAAGCTCGACAGTGCTTCAAACAAAGATATCACAGGCTGAGGTGAGCCTGATCCATACATGGTATTTTCAGTTGCCTCATGTGCATGTGGAAGTTGGACAGTGAGTGAGGAAGACTGTAGAACTGATGCATTTGACTTATGCTATTGGAGAAGAATACTGAAAGTACCATGGACTGCCAGAAGAACAAAGAGGTCTGTGTTGGGAAAGGTACATCCAGAATGCTCCTTGGAGGCAAGGTAGACATTATGAGGAGGGACCAGTCCCTGGAGAAGGACAATATGCTTGGTAAAATGGGGAGTCAGGAAAAAAAGGAAGACCCCCAATGAGATGAATTGATTCCGTGGTAGCAGCAATAGGCTTAAGCGTAACAACAACTGTGAAGATGGTGCAGGACTAGGCAGTGTTTCATTCTGTTGTACAAAGGGTCACTATGAGTCAGAATATTCTTTTTTTTTTCCTTTGGAATATTCTTTATTAGTAAAGCTGAACTATTGTTTGATTTAAAGAAGACTTCAGAGCTGTTTTTGGTTTAAGGTTTAAAGATGATCTCAGGGCAATAGTTAGGGGAGTCATCCAGCCTCAGTGGCTCCAGAAAGTCTGGATTCTATGAAAACTTGAAATTCTGTTCTGCATTTTCTCCCTTTTGATGAAAGGAAACCATTAGCCATGTATCCCATTTCTTCCTCCTATTTATGACTCTCCATCTTACTTTGTTGCCCCAGGCAAATAGAGCCCAATTGTGGTACCTTGGATGACAGCTTAAACAATGAACTAGGAGACAGAATAGAAACACTGAGCACAATAATAGGCCACTTAATAGGGAACCGTGACCCTAAACCTCCAAGCCAAGAAACCAGATCCCATGAGGTGTTTGGTTATACATCATCAGTCAAATTATTTTTTTGTTAAAGAAAGCAATCCCAAAAGACAGTGGTTTATTTGTAATAGCATTTTATCTCTTTCTAAAGTAACAGTGATCCATGGCTGATAGGGTGCTCTGCCATATTCACAAGGGCTTTCAATCTGAATCAAAGATAAGTTTTGACCTTGACTAATTGGGGATGGGGAAAAGGGACAAATGAGAGTGCTACTAGACCTTTCATGTGTAAGACTGTAAAGTGACATCCGTCACTTCCATGCACATCACAGTTTAGAACTAAGTCACAAGAGTGTAGATGTTAGATGAGAAATACAATGTGCCCTGTTAAAAGTTGGATCTATTACAAAAAGGAAGATGGGGTAAATGAGAGACAACAATCTTTGCCTGAGATAGGCCAATAAAACCCCCCAATTTTTGTGAGCTATTAGGGAATAGAGAGTATCTGTTATCTGCCAATTATGCCACAGGGACCTATGGTATGAAACTAGATGTCTTTTCCCACTCAGTTTTTTCCCTTAGAAAATTCAGGTGTGCTTACCTACCAACTGAAAGGTTGGCAGTTCAAATTTACCCAGCAGTACAGTGGAAGAGGAGTCCTGGTGTGGCGCTGTAGGATAAGCACCAGACTGTAAGGTCGGTTTGAACCACAAGATCGACAATTCAAACTCACCAGCCACCCTTTGAAAGCCCTATACAGGATTGCTATGAGTCAGAATTGACTCAACAGCACTTAACAGCCAGAACAACTATGGAAGTGATCTGATTCCATATGAGTATAGTCATCCAAAACCCTAAGGAGCACAGATCTACTCTAAAACACATGAGGTTGTTATGAGTTGGAATTCACTCAGTGACATTGGGTTTGGGTTTTTAGCTTTATTTATTTTCTCCTTCCCTCTATGCTGTTGGTGGGTTGGTTGGTTGGTTTTTCTCCTCTAACTTAAGGGTTTTTTTTCTCCTAATTTCTTAAATTTTCATCAACTCTCCACCCCAGCAGGGTGTACTGCCCTCGGTTTTCTCCTGAGACACTTGCATTCATGATTTGGGCAAATGCAGATAATGTCTACCATCTGGGGAGAGTGATGTTTGCCCAAGGCAATGACTGTTGTTGTTAAGTACCGTCAAATCAGTTACCACCCGTAGTGACCCTGATGAGCAGCTGGTGCGTTTGAACCGCCAACCTTGCAGTCCAGTGTTTTATCCCACAACTCCACACCAGGACTCCAAGGCAATGAGTGTTGTTGTTGCTGTTGCTGTTAAATGCCGTTAAGTAGGTAGGTTCTGATTCATAGTGATCCTGTACAGGATTTTAAGGACAGGCTGGTGAGTTTGAACCACCGACCTTGTAGTTTAAGCCAAACTTGCGGTCCAGTGCTTTATCCCACAGTGCCATACCAGTAGTAGAGGTCAAAGCAGAATTTGAATACCTTTTCAAGTTTTTTGTTTTTTTTTTCCAACATGCCTACATATTAAAATTACTAGGACATTTTGAAAAATATTGATGCTTAGGTCCCACTCAGAAAATGTTCTAATTGGCCTGGGCCTAGGTGTGTTTGATGGTTGTAATATGAAGCCACAATTGAGAATCACTGCTCTAATTGATCCACTCATTGCTGCTCGCCCCAGACTGCTTCCTGTCCCAATCAATTTTAAACATCTCCTGTTGTCTGTCTTCACAGGAAATCTCAGCATGAGAGAACAGCACTGGTGTGGGATGACCCCTAAAATAGGCACTGTGTTGTCAGGGGCCTTTACCATCATTTCCACCGACATGTACCTCATCTTTGAAGAAAAGTACATAAAGAGTAGCAATTGCCCTGAGGTGGAACTACGGAACCAGGGTATAAATAATATTATAAGTCAGTATTTCAGATGCTGGACTTTCGAGATTGCCTTCTTTATGTCTTTGGCCACCATTATCATCAGCTTCCTCTTACTGTACTCAGTGTATGCCCAGATATTCAGGGGCATGATGATCTACATCATCTGGATTTTTTTATATGAATCTGTAAGCATTATAATACAAGTTCTCACCAACAGTAACTCAGCCTTGGAAGCGGTCAGAGTGATACGCTGGTTTGGCTTGGTGTCCCGTATATTCATGCATTGCTTCTGGATGTTCTATGTCATCACTTACATGCAAATTATCTACAAAAGTAAAAGCCAAGGCAATATACTTTACAACCGACGTTTTTCTGTGGGTGTCAGAGAGTTCCCACGGCGTAAATCAAAGTCATTCAGCATTACCAACACTATAAATAATGTCAGATCTTTCCACTGAACCGCAGGTCTCCCAGGTTCTCCTGGCAATTCTGTTTTCATCTCTTCCTTTCATTTTTGCTGAGCATTCCAGTGAGTCAAGACCCTGCTACCTAATATTCACAACTGGAACATCCTGCTTACTGTAATTTTTAGTTAAAGGACATAACTATATATCAACCCCCACTTGAGTTCCTCTCACCTTTTCTGATCAGCATCACCCTACATCTGGTCAAAATTAAGAGAGCAAAGGATTAAAAATGAAACCAGACTGCAATATGTCCGTCCCTTCATCTTGGTATGTCCTTATTAGACTTCAATCCATAGCTCTGCAACTTAACTCTGGAATAAGCAATTCTGTATATATAGATCAGATTTTTATAGCATAAAGGATACAAAAATGTAGCATAAGGCATTTTGTTGTTGTCTTGGGATGGGTATGTGCTGTGCCCCTCCCTGCCCCTACATCACACACTCTATACTATATTCCAGACAAGAAAAAAAATTAAAATGAGGAAAAATCATTCTTCAGTTTCTGTCTTCAGTCTCTGCCTCCCCACACCCCCGATTATCAAGGATGACAGTCACGTGGTCAATCAAAAGGTATTTGTTAAACTTTTCTATGATCGTCACTGTGCTGGACACTTCAGGGATACAAGAAAAGTATAAGTTGTGATATCTGGCCTTAAAGACTTTATAGGTTAATGAAAAAAACTCAATTACTGTATATCAATCAATTAGCCAATTATATAAGACTGTACATGATAGCACACTATCAAAGATCAACTTCACTTCATGTTTAGGTTGAGAAAGTGTCAGAGCACTTTAAGCCACGAAGGACAACAAATATTAGACACTGGATTTTTTGTTATTGTTGAATAGCTTTACTGAGATATAATTGACATACAAGAAACTGCCTATATTTAAAGTTTATCATTTGATAAGTTTTGACATATATGCATACAGCCATGAAACCACCACATATATAACATGGATGACATTATGGATTACAACTCAATGTAAAGAATGCAAAATCCTTACAACTGGACCAATAAACAACATCATGATAAATAGAGAAAAGATTGAAGTTGTCAAGGATTTCATGTAACAAAGGCATTTGTTGCTGTTGTTAAAGTGCTGTTGAGTTGGTTCTGACTCCTAGTGACCCTGTAGAGAGTTTCTGAGGAGCGGCTGGTGGGTTTGAACTGCTTTGTTTTATTGTACTTTGCTTCATTGCACTTCACAGATAATTGCGTGTTTTACAAACTGAAGGTTTGTGGCAACCCTGCATCAAGCAAGTCTGTTGGCGCCATTTTTCCAATAGCATGCGCTCGGTTTATGTCTCTGTGTCACATTTTGGTAATCCTCACAAAATTTCCAACTTTTCCCTAATGCTATTGCATGTGTAGTAGAGTACAGTATAGTATAAACATAACTTTTTTTTTTTTCTTAAATGTTTTATTGTGAATTATGTGATAGTTTACATGGGAGAACATTAGTTTTACATTCATTCTATCATATATCCTCTCATTGCCATGGTTACATGCAATCCTTCCCCCATACCCTCCAGCTCTCCCTCTCTGAATCTAAAGTCTCCAGCTGCTCCATAGCTCCACGTCATCATCTCTGGCTCCATTTCAGGCATCACTGCTTCCCTGGGTAGGGTCCTGCTCTCTGCTCTTCTCCCTTGATGGTCCTAGGGACCTCTGCTCCTAGACTGAAAAGTTAATCACTCCCCTCCTTGCTATAAAACGTCTACCTTTACATTTTTGACCCTCACAATCAGTCCTGATAACAATTATTCACTATTGTATCACCAGAGACCCATCTGCATTTCATTGCATCAACCCCGCCTAGACAGATTGAGTACTACTCACTGGAGATTCTACCTTCCTCCAGGCCCTCTGGATCTAGGTTCCCTCTTGAAAGCTTGTAAGCCAGTCACTTCTTGCCTTTGTAGCCCCCTGCCCCCCATTTTGGGTAGCCAATTTCCAAGTTGCCCATCCCTGTCTACTCTGTGTGTGGAGGGGGTGGGAATGATTCTTGCTGTAAGGACTTGTTCCCTCTTTGGAGCTACTGCTTCCATAGGTGTATGTCAAGTTCATCAAATTGTATGAGAATACTTTTTTTTTTTCCCTCTTCTTTTTACTTCTGGTTGAGCTCTGATCACCCAGTCACTGAAGCCAGGATAAGTGGGTATTATCTGCAAGTGTGAGTGTTCTTATGCATATGTCCTCTCTTCTTATCAGCTGGATGCTTCACTCTTCACTCTAGTCCTCTGTGGCTATAAGCATAACTTTTTATATGCATTGTTCTTGTTGTTAAGTGCTGTTGAGTTGGTTCTAAGTCATAGTAATCCTGTATGGGGTTTCCGAGGAGTGGTGGTGGTGGTTGTTATGTGCTGTGGAGTCGGTTCCGACTCATAGGGACCCTGTATAGGGTTTCCAAGGCTGTAAATCTTCATGGGAGTAGAAAGCCTCATCTTTCTCCCACAGAATGGCTGGTAGTTTTGAACTGCTGACCTTGAAGTTAGCAGACCAACTTATAACCATAAGCTACCAGAGCTCCTTTCACTTACACTTAGTATGGTCAATTTTTATTTTATTTTATTTTTTTCATTTAGACAGTCTAATAGGCGTTTAAGGAGACATGGTAGCTCAGTGGTTAAGTTCTTGTCTAGTAACCAAAAGGTCATTGGTTCAAACACACCAGCCACTCTTGGAGAGAAAGCTATGGCAGCCTGCTTAAGTAAAGGTGACAGCTTTGGAAACCCTATTGGGCAGTTCTACTTTGTCTTACAGTATCTCTTTGAATCAGAATCGACTTGATGCCGATGGGAATAGGTACATAGTGATATCTCCTTATGGTTTCAACCTGCATTTCCTGACTTACCCTCCATCTAGATCTATATACTGCTGAAGGTGCTGTTTCCATCTCTTTAACCCTTCCCCTGAATAATTCTGCACTCTTCAATTAGTGCCACATCAAAATGGCAATTTTGACATCCTTGAGAGACTCAAATTGTATTCCTTTTAAATGTTCTTTGAGTTTGGGAAACAAAAAGAAATTTGAAAGGGGCAGAATCAGGGCTCTAGGTGCTTGGGGTATTGGTGTTAGGTGCCACAGAGTCAGTTCTTATTCATAGTTACCCTATGTGCAACAGAACAAAACACTACTTAGTCCTGCACCAGCCTCACAATTGTTATTATGTGTGGGCCCACTATTGTAGATACTGTATCAATTCATCTTGTGGGGGACTTCCTCTTTTTCCAATGATGCTTCACTTTACAAAGCATGATGTCTTTTTTAAGGGACTAATCCTTCTAGTAAAATAGCCAAAGTACTTGAGACAAAGTCTTGCCATCCTTACTTCTAAGAAACATATTGGCTATACTTCCAAGACAGATTTGTACATTCTTCTGGCAGCCCATGGTATTGTCAATATTCTTCACCAATACTCAAATGCATCAACTCTTTCCCACTCTTCCTTTTTCATCACCCAGCTTTCACGTGCATATGAGGCCAGTGACAATGCCCTGGCTTGGGTCAAGTGCACCTTAGTCCTTAAAGTGATATCTTTCATCTTTAACACCTTTAAAAGAGGTCTTTTGCAACCAATCTGCCCAATTCAATTTGTCATTTGATTTCTTGACTGCTGCTTCCATGAATACCGATTGTGGATCCAAGCAAAATGAAATCCTTGACAACTTCAATCTTTTCTCTATTTATCATGATGTTGTTTATTGGTCCAGTTGTAAGGATTTTTGCATTCTTTACATTGAGCTGTAATCCATAATGAAGGCTATATTCTTCGATCTTCATGAGCAAGTGCTTCAGGTTCTTTTTATTTTCAGCAAGCCAGACTGTGTCAAATTCATATCTTGATTTGTTAATGAGCCTTCCTCCAATCCTGATGCCACATTCTTCTTCATGTAGTCCAGATGTTAGAATTATTTGCTCAGCATACAGACTGAATAAGTATGGGGAAAAGATACAACACTGGTGCACACCTTTCCTATAATGACTGCCTCTTGGTCTATCTACAGGTTCCTTATAAGCACAATGAAGTGTTATGGAATTCTCATTCTTCATGATGTTATCCATAGTTTGTTATGTTTCATACAGTTGAATGCCTTTGCATAGTCAATAAAAGCATAAGCAAACATCCTTCTGACATTCTCTACTTTTAGTCAAGATCCATCTGACATCAGCAATGATATGCCTAGTTTCATGACCTCTTGTAGATCCTGCTTGAGTTTCTGGCAGCTTCCTGTAGATATACGGCTCCAACCAGATTTTGAGTTATCTTCTGCAGAATTTTACTTGCATATGATTTTAATGGTATTATTCAATAATTCCTGCATTTTGGGTCAGCTTTCTTTGGAATAGACATAAATATGGATCTCTTCCTGTCAGTTGACCAGGTAGCTGTCTTCCAAATTTCTTAATATAGGCTAGTGAGTTCTTCCAGTGTTGTATCAGGTTGTTGAAACATTCCAATTGGCCTTCTGTCAATTCCTAAACACTGGTTTGCTGTTGTCTTCAGTGCAACTTGGAATTCTTCCTTCAGTACCATTGGTTCTCAACCATATGCTACATTCTGAAATGGTTGAGTATCGATCAGTTCTTTTTTTATAATGAGGTAAGGTTTCCCAATGAAATTCTCATAGGATAGTCCTTGCTAGCCTCAAAGAATGAGCAGGTGTATTGCTGAAAAAACTCCTTGGTACAAATTTCCTGGCTTTTTCCTTACCAAGTCAGCTTTCAAATTTCATAAAGCTTATTTGTAATAATACCCTATGATCATCTTGTGTCCTTTGAAAAAGACTATCAAGATTACCCCTTTGTAATACCCCAAATTAGTTGTTATGGCCTTTCTGTCTTGAACTGAACTGGTTGGCAGATCCATTTGGAAGCCACTTCTTTGATTGAACCTTGCTTTGGGGAAGCCACCGTAATGAAACAAGACAATTGTCTTATTGAGAAAACTTGTCTGCAGTTATTCACTGATGACAAAGACAT